ATATAAAATACCTTTTGGAGTTTTAAAGGTGGAGAAAACTTACCCTTGATCGTAGTTGTAATAATCCTGAGTGTAGTAGTCCTGACCAGGGTCAATGCCAGACTCCATTGATAATTCCTGGTAGATTAAAATGACATGATTAGGACACAAATGTTTGAAAACACAATAGGCAGAATATACAGGTTATCATGACTCAGGTCAAGAAAATTAGCTGTGGCTGAGACTAGACACTTGACAATATCCACACAAATCTCTGAGTGTTGCTCCCTCTCTCAGATTTGTGGTCCAAAAGGGACAAATCCCAGCACCTCAAGACACCACAGTGCAACAAGCTCATAGAGAACTCAGATAGTCCTTACTGTCCAACCAGTCCAGGTGAAAATGATGTTGAACACATTTGCTTAAAATGGTGAACGCACTTGCATCTCTGCCATCAGATCAATCTGAAAACTGCTCTGTGAAGTATTAAAGTGGAGCCCAGGACTACATGTACAGTCTTATCAGTAGAAAAAGCCCATTTTATATTTTAACACCAAAATATTAAAAATTGTAAATGATGATATTAACATTGTTTAAAAAAAAAAAAAAACAACCTGTTCTGTGTTAGCCCACAGATGGGACCCTGCCAGGAACCTTGGGCCCCATGGAAGGATATGACAATGGTCTTCTGTGTTACACACTCAAGAACATGAATATATTTCTACGTTCTGTGCAGAATCATACCAAAACTACAAGAAAAGTCTGAAAGCAATTTTTTAATGTAATACTATTATAAATTAATATTTTTTTGGGCCCGATCAGTCAGATCATTAGGTCAAATGTTCAGTTGGTATAAATGTGGTTGCCCTGTGATTGGTGAAAGATCCAAAGGTGTAGGTTCCGTTAGACAGCTGGACATGAAATGTTCTCAAAGAGGACGTTTCACCTCTCATCCAAAAGGCTTCTTCAGTTCACGTCCAGTTGCCTAAGAGAACTATTTAACCTTGACCTGGATGACTGAGAATCTTCATCCACATCCAAAAGTGTATTCCACCTTCAGCCAATGAGTGCTCAGATCACTAGAACCTTGACTTTGACATTAAGCAGTCAAAGACAAAACTGGACTTGCTATGCAACCTGGTCAAATTCCTGTGGCTGATCTATGGCTATGAGCCTACCATCCACCTACTCTCCAGGTTGACCTTTTTGACCTTCTCTGCTGGACGTGCAGCTCTGCAGTTGTTTGAAATTACCTCTAAGCTAACCTTTACACCTTCTGTGCTTTAGAACTGCGGCATGACAGCCACTGCTGCCACACTCTCGACATTACCTGCTACACAGAGCGACCATGTTCAAACTTCCCTTGTGCCTCTGACCCTGTCTGCCTACTTGTCACTCACTGAGCCCCGTGAGCACCCAGACATTGTTCCCCACCATGTTCTGCCAGAAATTCCACTTTCTGTCCACCTCCAACACTCTCTGACTGAATAATAAACCCTCCTCCCTGGACTGCACTGCACTGCGTTCACTCCGGCTCTTTTTACTGAAACAAAAGAAGAACTCAGCAGAAAACAAGGGAAAATGAGAAAGTACCTCAGGTCTGAGCAGGGAAGGACGGAGAAGTTGTTGTGTCTGCTAGAGGCAAAGAAAAGCAGAGCATGACAAGAGAAACGCAGGAAGTTAAGACTTCTCCGTCAGTGTGACGTGTACTTTTATTTTGGAAACAGAAAATCAACGGCTTGTGCTGCTTGTTCGAAATCTCTTGGAGTAGATGTGTGACAAAGAATGTCAAGAAAACTAAAAATTTCACTTCAGAGAGTTATAATGAATTTTAGTGATCACTGTACATCGAGACGATCAACCAATATACAGACTATATTTGTGTTGACTGATGCATAATTATGGGAATTACTAGCATGTCACTATATATATGTAAATATATATATACATATATATTTATTTATGTAAATACATAATCTCATACATAGAAAAATATATATGCATGTAAATATACATACAAATACATATATGTGAATATGTAAATATATTTATACATACAGAATTATATTATCCCAGATAAGAAGTGTCATGCTGTGATTCCTGAAGTTTTATTTCACTTATAGCTCATTTAGCTTAATAACCACTTTAATTATCAACAATGTTTTTATTTAGCCATTAGCTTAATTACTATCAAGTTCTTAATAACTTGATGATTCTTAATGCTTTCTCTCTTAATACCAATATATTTTTCTTTCTCATTCATTTCCTTATAATTTCCTCTTAACTCACACATCTGCTTTTATTTAATTAAAAACTCTGCACTTTATTTAATCCTATGGCGTTTGATTTAAATTTTACTGCGCGCCACCCAGTGACAAACACCACATCCTTCATTTAGATAAGAAGAATTGTTCACACAAAGACTTTGATTTCATGCTGCTCTAGCTTAATTACACCAGCATCACAGGAGGAGATAGAAAAAAAACCCCAGGAAAACAAAAGGTGGAAAAGAGGGTGAGAAGGTGATGTCACCCACACATGCATGTCACATGCAACCAGGCGAAGGCATTTACCTCTTGTTGTCCGTATCCTCGCCTGAAAGATGAAACCAAAACAATAAATCAGTATTTGTCACAGTGTGCGCTTCCCTTCATCTCATACTGCTGCACAGATGACATGTTGTAATTGAAGGAGGCTGCAGGAAACATTTCACATGTTGTAGGAAAGTAACGCCGTGATCCAGAGACGGGGGCGGTAAGATACGTGTACTAGTAAATTGTTTGGGGAGGGTTTTGTAGTAGAAAGCCCTTACTTCATTTTGGACCAAAAATGTTATTTTCTTATATAGCGGAATGATTTCTTGTAAAAAGAAAATCTAGAAAATTGTTTATACCAGCGGTCCACACCAGCACCATGTTGAAGGATCATTCAATTTTCAACATAACATCTTTTAGACTGAATGAAGTAACTTAGTAAAACTGAAGTACATTTTGTGTACATTTCTCATGTCCTACTGCAGCCCGGTACCAATTGATCTACAGACCAGCACCGGTCCCCAGACCCTGAATGAAGTAACTTAGTAAAACTGAAGCACATTTTGTGTACATTTCTCATGTCCTTCTGCAGCCTGGTACCAATTGATCTACAGACCGGCACCGGTCCCCAGACCTGGGAATGGGGATCCTTAGACCATAACAGGGGTCACCACCTACATTTGACGCAGGGCCAGATTTTTTTGGGAAAAACACTTTGGTTGCCGGTCACTCAAATAAAATGAAAACCTAATCTTTTTTCTTTTTTTTTTTTTTTTTGAGAAGATGGTCTATACAGACACTAGAAACCCTTTTTTTTTCAATTACTAGACTCACAGTGCTGAGCCTCGCCTAATTCCCTCACAGGGTGTGAAAACAGTTAGTGGAGTAAACTCTCACGAACAGAGTAGGTAAATTCAATATTAAAGGTCAAAGTATAGGAGTGAAAACGTAACCAGGAAAAACTTCAATCCTGCAGTGAAACAAGTGTAGGCTGTCTTGGCTGTTAGAGGAATATTTAAACTGTTGAATGTCAATGTTAGAAATGTGATCGCTGTAATTGAATACAAATATTTACTTCATAATGAAATATGGAAATAATATTTCTATGTTTAGTTTGCTCTGTGCTTGATTGTGTAGAATGGGAAATGTGAAGCAGACAAAAAAAAAACCCCAACTGCCTAGTGGTGATGAGCAAGTACTACAGGTTAGGACACAAAAGCCTGGGTAACGTGATGAATGATGGTAGATCTGAGTAAATGAGGTCAGCATTCCGATCACCCCAGCGTCGCCCAGGAACAGAACACAATGCTGCGTTATCTGATCAACTGGAGGGAGCTTGCAGATGAAAACACATGGAACTGGACAAGTAAATGAAAACGAAGAGAAGCGAAGAGCAGGTGTTCCTTTCACCAATTCTGCAGAAACGATGCAGCAAAACGTTCTGCAAAAGAAATACAAATAACTTCCTTTTAGACGCGGTTAAATCCACGCTGGCAGGTTTAACAACGTTCCCTCACTACTCTGAATTGATTTTTCCTTTTCACAGTCGCTGCATCTTCAATCAAGCAGTTTAGCAGCGAGGGAGGCGGGGTGTTGGAGCTATCCCAGAGCCATAATCAGCCGGTGAGTGGGCCCATCAACAACGTCACGTCACATCACTACTTCAAGAAAGACCCTCTCCGCAGCTGATTGAGGGTTATTTGTTTGATGGCTTGGAGGACAATCGCTCCTCCAGGGTGTGAAATGTTAATGACAGGATCCACACAAAAAAGTTAACTAGAACACATCGCACCAATTAGAACTGCAGGATTTCACAGCTGCTGTGGGAGTTAATCCTATTTTTTTGTTTCTGTTATGGAGTTTCCTTGAGTGCCTCCACACCTGACAAAAACTAAAGGCTTTGGCCTTTTGTGGAGTAAACAGAATATTACCAGATAATAGGCTAACGTTATTTGCGTATTTTGCAGAGTTGTTAAAATACATAAGTTCACATTTGTTATTTTCTCAGTGACAGCCGCCAGAGGGCACTCTAGGCTTGTGTACCAGTATCTGCTACTCCTGTACCACTGAAAATTTACATGTTCGTTATTTTCGCCCTAACCCTTTTTTGCTTTTTCATTATGCATTATTAACTAGTGCAACTTACACTCTGGAGCAAAATACAGTATGTAAACCAGGGGTGTCAAACATAGGGCTTGCGGGCCAAAACGGGCCCGCTAAGGTGTTCAATCTGGCCCGCTTGATGAATTAAAAAAAACAAAAAAATAATCTTTGTAAAATTATATTTCATTAAACCTGAATAAATAATTAATATCTAAAATACATGTACTAAAATACATGAATGAAAACAACGAGAGAAAAATGTACTTATTGTCATATTCAGTTAATTATTATATGATTGTTCCGGTCCAGCCCACTTGACATCTAATTCGTTTGTATGCGGCCCTTGAACCAAAATGAGTTTGACACCCCTGATGTAAACAAAGCCATGATGAAAATTCAACAGTGGTATCTTCATTTGCAGGTACTTTATTACCCACATATCGAGTTTTGGGAATAATATTTAATTAAAGTGTGGGTGGCATGGATATGGGGAGAGAATACATACATAAGAAAAACAAGAACATAGAAATAATACTGATAAAAGGGAGTAATAAAACACACACACTCACAAAAGAAAAAAAGAAAAAAATGCAGAGAGACAGGGAGAAAGAGCAGTACGTTTGTTTGTGATTTGTTTGCTGCAGAAAACACACCAACCAACTGAGGCGGGACAGAAGTTTGAACAGGAAGACAGAAGGAAGGCAGCAGACGATGCTGGCAACCATTGCAACTGTGATCATGAAGTCAACCATGACAGGCACCGCTCTGGAAAAAAAACCTGGCAAGCTAAGTATTCAACGCCCAGGATTGCCAACAAGATGGGAAGTATAAACATAATTTTCTCCTCCTATTCCTAATGACAGTAAAGTAAAAAATTAGTCATTAAAATGTTTTTTTTTTGTATATTCACAAAGCCAATAAAGATGTGATGGTTTTTAGCTTCTTTTTCAGGTTGTCATGTAGCATTCAAATTGTAGAGTTCAAATCAGATTCCATTCTTTTTGCGTCTCGGTAGAAAAAAAAAAGAATCATCCCTGAGATATTTTAAGCACCAGTCCCTTGACGGCGCTACAGAAAACCCAGCTACGTCAACAGATTTCCATATCAGAAAGGCTTGTTCTAGAACATTGTCGACTGGGAGGGAAATTTTTTCTCTAGTTCCTCCACAATGGAGTTCATATTTTGGTTGGGCTGAATCTGTGGCGCTGGAGGAGAAGATCCTGCGCCTGTTCCACCTCCACCCCCTGCTGGCGTTACTGCGTCTAAAGAGGCGAGAGAATCCAGAGACTCCACAGACGCCTGACTCTTCATGACCTTCTTGAGCGGGATCTGTTTCTGATCTATTTGACTGAACATGTTGGCCACTGACTTCTCAATTTCCGCGATGTTCTGGATGTTCTTCAGGATCCCTTTCAACTCCTTTTGCTGCGGTTCCGCTTCCTTCGGGCGGGGAGGCGGCGGGGGCCGCAAGGACACGGGCCGCAGAGCCGGCACCTCGGACAGAGATGGGAGCACGAAGGTGGACGGACGCATGAAGGAGGGGGATAAAGGCGGAGGTGGTGGGGGAAGTGGTGGTGGAGGAGGAGGAGGAGGAGGAACGGCCAGGTTCTCTGTGTCTTCAGATTGAGAGGTGGAGACAGGTGGAGGAAGAGGAGGTGGAGGTGGAGGGGACAATAAGGGACGTGGTTGAGGAGATGAAGGAGGAGAAGGTGCAGCGGTGAGAGGTGGTGGAGGAGGTGGTGCTGGACTTGAAGGAGGGTCAGGGATTATCTCTAAATGGACCTGGAGTGTGTCCTCTCCAGTCTGAACACTGGTTAAATTACCGCCAAAACGACGAAGCACTGGAGGAGTCGGCTTGTAGCTCGGGGGAGGGGTAGCTCCGTCGCTGTGGGTCACAATGATACTCGGAGGACCCTCTTTGGCCGGGGTAACTAGGACGTTATGGACGGGACTCTGCTTATAGGGTTGGGAAATCTCGGGAAAAACAGAAAGCAGGAAATCAGGTGACAAAGAGCCGCGAGAACCTCTGTTTTGTCTTTGATACATTTCCTGCAGGGCCTGTTGCTCAAACTGTCGGGCCTGTTCCTTAACTGTCAGCTTTGGTTCCAGATCTGGAAAGCCCACTGCGTCTGCATGGTCGAATCCTGAATCCAAAGCGGCATCTTTGCTCTCTTTAAAATCGGCCTTGAAAAGCTCCAGCTCCCACTGCACTGGATCCATGACCACTCTTCGTCTGAAAGCGTCGTACATTTCTTTCCGATGTAATCGTGACGGGAGAGTCCAGCTGTGTCCACCTACAGAGCCCCATCTGTCTCTGTCACTGGACCCGCAAAGTCCAATATCGCCACCGGGGGTGCTGAGCCTCAGCCAGGCATCCTGAAGACCTTTCCTGGAGGGAGAACAGTTTCCCAGAAGGTCTCTTCTTCTTTGGATTTTTCCATTCGTCTCCGGACTGCTCAGTGTCCCGTCCTCGTGGTAGATGGGATTCCTGATAGTCAGTGGGTTTTCATCAGAGAGGAAAGTGATGTTGGACTCAGACTTGGGCAGATTGTTGAGCACGCCTCCGTTTGCCACACACTGCTGATGGGCAGCGATTGCACGGGTGGCGAAATCAGAGATCAGACACTGGCCATCACTTTCAATCACACTGCTGCTACTTCCACAACTGTGAATGAAAGCGGTGATACGTGGAAGAAAGGAAAAGAAGGGAAGAGAAGGGGGGGAAAAGAAAAAAAAAATCACAGATGAGGAATGATGGAAAAAGAAAATGAATCAGAGAGATGCTTACACCTCACTGCTTCATTTCAACCAAAGGAGAAACAAGACAGATGGAGACTGACTGAAATTTAAATGAATGTTCGAAAGAACCGATGCACAAAATGGTAAAATGAAGAGGTTGAAAATATGCTTGAAAGGGTTTGTGACAAGGTTTACACAAAGTCTTGCAAAAATTAAATAAAACATTATTAGATTTACTTTCAACAAAAATGCAAAAAAAAAAGGACTTTGTTTGAAAGCATCGATCAGTAAATTAAAATCTAAATTTAAGACCTGATACAGTAAAACAAATACATTTTTAACTACGTTACGCTCATTCTACCAAGCACAACTCACTACATTACAGCAGCGGTCCCCGACCTTTACTGTACCAAGGACCAGTCGGCTGGTATCAGGCGTTACTGCGAACCCGACCTTTACTGTACCAAGGACCAGTCGCCTGGTATCAGCCGTTACTGCGAACCGTTAAAGGATCATTACATTTCCAAAATAAAACATCTTTTAGACTTCATTCTGTTAGTATCAGCGTCTGAAACATTGTCAGATTATCTTTGAGTAAAGGGATATGACTGGATTCTTCTTTGGCCCTGTACCAAATGACCTACGGACTGACACCAGTCCCCAAACCAGGGGTTGGGGACCCCTGCATCACAGTACTAGAGGACTAAAGTAACCTATTATAAAGAAATGGGGAGATGGGACACAAATCAATCTCTATCACGAAGTAAATTCAATTTCACCAACAGTGTGAATCAAACAAGACAAACAGAGCAGACTGGTCATAAAAGAACACAGTCAGCCTTTAGTCCAGGGTAGAGAAGCCTGGGGGGGTTGGTGGTGGTGTTCTGTTTAGTACTTGGAGCCTGATCAGATCAGATGGTGTCACCACAAACAACAGCCATTTTTGTATTAATAAAAATTATAAAATGTAGTCGATCGAGAGCCATTACTTCGCTGTTTATTGCTAAAAGGGTTGAGCAATAACAATTTTAACTCACAGTAAAGGGGGGATAAGTAGAGATTTTATAGAGAAGCTCCCAAACAGGCTTTAATGTGTATCATGATTTTAACGTCTAACGCGATAAACAGTGGAACAAACCAAGGAGAGCTGAAAAAAATACAAGGAACACAAACAGCTCTAATATACAGCACAATTCCTAAGGACGCTTTGCTACAAACCATCTAATCTGTGACAACAGATAAATGTGGACACGTTCAAGAAGGAGACAAAAATGATGTGCTATTACGTGTTGACAGCAAACCTTAGCTCACACTTGGCTTTAACGTATGCTTCTACCCTTGTTTCGGGGCAGAAGTGTGTTAAATCAGCGCTACCTCAAGTCCTGACTTTGACAAAACTCTGCGGACTCTGAGAACTTCACGCCGCATTTATGCTAAATCACAGTAACCTCAGCAGCATACTCATTCATCACTGCTGGGAGCACGAACAACAAAACAAAACCAGCATCCACAGTCTGACCTACAGAGGTACGGGAAGTCTCGTTCCACAAACACACACACACACACAGTACCACTAAGTTCTAACGTAGGCAAAAACCAGGAAAACAATGTTAGGGATCTATTTCAGCTTTCACTAAAGACTCACAGACAGGAAATTGTCAGTGTTTTTACTCACTTTTGTCTGTCAGTCAGGAGAGTTAGAGAGGAAGTGAAGAAATGACAGAAAAAACAGTGAAAATGATGGCATTCACCAGCTTGCATCAAAGATACATTAAAATCACAATAAAGTTATACTTTTATACCATAGGTCAAAACTTTTGGGGTAGTTCTCATTATTATTATTACTATTATTATTATATTACATGATATTTTTTTTTCATCAAAAGATGACAGGATTTAAACAAAGAGATCTGACAGCTTTCTAATCTTTAAATGATATTTTCAAAATAAAAGTCCCGTGTAAGAAAATAAAGTTTATTTACTTTCTTGGTTTTGGGTTGTTTGTTAGCCTTTACTGTTCACTGTGGTGAGAGATACATCCTGTTGCAAAGTTTAAGAACTTGTACCGCTTCAGGCTGTCTCAGTTTTTTGGGTTCATTTGAAGCCACAGTCCAGACCATCCAGGAAATATATGAGTATGTATGTACGTATAGTATATGTAAGTACTGCAGCAGGATCTCTGACCAATGACAACTGACAACTGACGTCTGAACCAATGTCATCTACTCATCTGACATTTTAATATAAATTATTCTGACCATTGTCTAAATGTTCAACACTTCTATTTACCAAATCTATAAATGAGTATGCTGTATGTAACTCTGAATGGTGTCGAATCTATAAATGAGTATGCTGTATGTAACATAATCATTAACATAAGTATACCTTCATATTTTCAACATTATTAAGGCAGAAAACACCAGTTTCAAATACAGCTGAATACGAATGCAAACTGGAATTAACCCAAACAGTCTTTTCACTTCCAGTGACAATAAAATAATAATAATAAAAAGATTAAAACACCAACATGTCCATGTAGCACTATTACGGGCTGTGAGCTTCAAATGAATATGAGATTCAGATTAGAGAAAAAAATGTATTTATCTCTATGTGGAAAATATAGACCGCTAACATATGTTCCTCCTGATAAGTCCAACGGGGAACATGTGCAAAATCACGTTTCGACTTTTTTAAAAAGTCTCTGGTTAAGGTTTGTATGAATAACAATACTCTATTTTTCATCTATTTACCATTTTTAACATGACTAAACCTGGGTCTGTAAAGAATTATCATCAGTAAAAATAAAAGAACACACAGACGTCGAAGTAAACCATTCTCCACAACAGTGAGCTGAGTGAACTTCACCAGGAAAGTGTAAACTTTCACCATCTTTTGGCGTTTGTGAGTGCCTCTAAAACTGTCGTGACAAAACAGGCAACACACACTTGCACACAGACACAAAAAAGAAAATACTAAATGCATCTTCCAACCTCCTAAAAAAACAACTCTCCTCCACAATAAACCAGCTTATCAATAGAATGAATTACCGCCCAGAGTGGTCTTTATAAATTACAGGCTGCATTTGTTTCAATTACCTCATATCCAAGTTAATTCCCATGCACATTCCTTAGAAAACCATTTCCCACCTCTCCAGGGTAGCGCACACACACAAACACACACTTGAAAATCACATGTCGTCGTTCGGAGATAGCTCCTACCATCTTGCATATTAATTGCTCTAATGTTAATGGAGTGAGAAGGCGTATCAAGGACAGACCGGGAGCCAGCCATGCATGTAATGCTGATAAAGAGTTTCCCCTCAACTTTCTTCCAACACACCATTGAGAAATTACAACTGCAATATCTGCACTTGGCGCCGAGTGAGTCATAGCGTGCCCGCGCGTGTTGCCGTGAACCCTCCCGAAATGAAAGGAAATGCTTAGTTTCCGCACAGTCGGTCACATGAGACATGTCGAACCAGACTGACACAAATCACAGCTGATGGCGTCGGAAAGGGAAAAAAAAAAATGAAGCAAGAGATTTGTTTGAAAAAAAAAAAAAACCAGACACAGCAGCTGATGGAGGAGAAAAAATGGTAACATTCATAGACAGTACTAAATAAAAGTTTAGTACATGGGTTCACAACCAGTGGCTCGGGGTCCAGTACAGGGGCTGTGGATTGTTTGGTAAAGTTTGGTTTTTTTTTATTTAGATTTTCTTTCTTTTCTTTTGCATGGTATTTTATTTTGAAAAGGGATCATATCTGTTTACTTTTCTTTGACAGCTCTAACTATGCAAATAACGAACCTATTCCATCTAAGTCTAAACACGTTTGTGAGCGATGTTTCTATCTGAGAAAATTGTCTTTGTCAAATTCTAAAACATGCCTTTACAAAACAGGTCAGGGCCTGCCTCATTATCTCATCCAGGGTTTGAAATCAAGTTTGTTTCAAATGTGCTTTCAGTTTTTGGTATAAAAAAAAAAAAAAAATCAGAGCAGTTGGATAGCTCCAATTATTTTAACAGGCTTCTTTTTATGTTTGGCTAAAAATTTGGTTTGTGCTCTGATGTGAAAACACAGCTTTGTGCTTGACGATGATAAAGGTTGTCAAAGCTGACCACCTTAAAAAATGTTTCACAATGTTTTCAATATAATTATGGGCCCTTTTTCAAAGTACAACAACTGTCTTACTTGGTTTGAAACCTCTCTAAATGTGCGGTGTTCTGTGATAATTAGCTTGGGTTTCCACTTTAGTTAAAAATAAAAGCAAAGCAAAATCAAACTAATTTTCCCACCACTACAAATATTCAGATTTGAAGTATTTTCCCAGAGAAGCAGAGGGAGATAGGCTTATATTTAAACCCCCAAACAGTAAGAATAAAATGTGTGTAAGTAAAGTAAAGAAAAATTAAATACAGACGACGGCGGATTACGGTAAAACGCTTGAAATCGCATCCAAGAAACATTCCCCTAAAATATTCAGTGGCATTTTTTGTTTTCCCTTCATAAAAACAAAGCACTGTGAGAGATGCCACATCATCGGAGTGTGTCGAGGTGTAAACACGCCGTCGGACCAGGAAAAGCATCTGCTTGGGCTCATCTGTGTCATTGCTGGTGTTACACTTCACTTACATGGCGTTGTCACCCAGCTCCTCGTACAGGTTGTTGGCGGTGCCTCCTCCAGGTTTGCCTGTTGGCAGTGCCATCTGGATGCGAGCCGTTTTGGCACATTCCGCCTGGCGTCTGGTCAGAGCGGAGGGGGAAGAAAAAAAAAAAAAAAAATGCAGTTAGCCCAACCGACTGCGGTTCAAATATGAATCCACGTGTGTTTTCAAAAGGTTCAAAGTAAGGACACAGAAGTCTTTGAAGGCAGTTTGGAATTTGAAGAAAAAAACAAATTCACCACAGACTTAAGCCCAGATGGTCCACATATACGCGCATGTGTTTATAGTCTGAATCTTGCTCGAGAGTGCTCATGTTATGACTTACGACAGTTGTTTAACTCAGAGGTTCCCAAAGTGGGGGGCATGGGACCTTTTGGGATGACCACAAAGTCATTGCAAGGTCAAATTATTTTATTTATTGGTATTTTTTAGATTGTACAACAGTGGAAAAAAAATACTGTTTATTTATTTCATTTCCTTTATTTAGGTGAGAATAAGCGTATTTTTCAAAAGAAAAGTTTGGGAAACTTTAAATTCAGGTCACACTAAGTAAGTTGGTCAAGTTTGATAATGGATTCCCAGGATTTTTTTCCAATTAGACTTTTAAGACTTTGAAGCTGTTCTGCTTACTACCTTAAAAAGCGATAAAAACGACAGACATCAAGCGATCAGTTAGTCATTGGTATACATGATCATCTGCTGTTGTTTCTGCCTCACCGACTGTGCTCATTAAATCAATCACAATGAACGGTGCTTAAAGCAGACACTGCATTAACATTTCAGTAAAGGAAAATGAAAGCGGTACTCACTCTTTGAACCTGGTTTTAAACGGTGGACGCAGCAGACGACAGGATGAGGAGAGAAAAGAAAGATTAGTGATTATTCCTTCTACAAATCACACCTGACCTCACTGGATCTGACCAGCTGAATCACATGTCCGACTTTAATCGCAATCCTTTTAACGAAAGCGAATACTAATTGTTAGGTCTGATTGCTTTCTCTGTCGCCCTTTCTTTATACCTCAATCCATCCTTTGTCTCTCTCTCTTTTCGAGCCAAGTGAGAATTTGTCCTCCAAACTAATGCATTTTAATTGTGTGTCTAAAGCCATTGTGTGAGTCTGATGGCATAAGAAATGAGAAGCCTGGTCTAACACACATCATGACAAATGGTAACGCACCTAAACATCTGATAACCACAGGGGATAACATTATACAAATTTGAAAAGAATTCTTTGGATCTTCATGTCTTGTTGCCTGATTTAATCCTCAATGAACAAATGTCAAATAAAATGTCTTGTTGCCTGATTTAATCCTCAATCACCACATTTCAAATAAAAATGCTATATTTTTGTGTTGTTTTTTTTAAATTAATGTTCTCGGAATCAGGGTCTCTCTTTAAAGAGTAAAACACTGATGCTCGGGAGAACTCTGGCAGAAAATGATTTTCTTTTGTGTAGCCAACAATCTATTTTGTGAGAGGGATTTTAAAAGTAAGTGAGGCTTTTCCACATTTTGCCAACTCAAAGACATAATTAGCCATCGAAAAATCTAATTTAAACATAATTTAGTTGGATGGGGAAATCACGTACGGATCAGTACACAAAGAAACGGTGTAAATATATAGGCATTAGTCAGGGCGCTGCTATATTCATGTTTAGGAAGAAGTGTCAAATTGATAAATATTAAACCCTATCAGATTCATTCCTGAATTACAAGCCATTCAAAGTTCCCACTTACTTTCTGTAGGTGATAATAACAATCAGAATGGCAGGGACAGCGCAGATGATGATGATTACTGCCAGAGCCAACAGCGCCCCCTCTGTGTAGCCTACAGACTGTACAGCTTTCTTCACACTCGTCACCAGTTCCGGGGTTCTGATTTCTAGGATGCGTCCGCCGGGAGGAAGGAAGGGCTGGAATTCTTTGTTGATGTCTAACAATTTACCATCAAGGAACCTTAAAAAAGAAAAGCAAACGCACAATTAATCAAATGATATTAATAAGGGAAATGGTGATGTTCAGATATGGAGGTGAAATCATTCTGATTCTACATTGAAAGACAGACAGATGGAGGTGAAATCATTCTGATTCTACACTGGAAGACTCTGGACACATATCAGGCCACCAGTATTCCCTGGTTCCCCGGGACGTTTAGATGGTTTGAAGCAATCCCCAACCCTTAGTCCGTAGGTCACAATGAAAAATGTACTTCATTTTTACTTCAATCAAAGAGAATCCAGTCATATTAATTAACTTTTCTGATTCAAAGATAATCTGGCAATATTTCAAAATAATATGTCATCCAGACTCCAAAACTAAGTCTAAAACAGACATGGGCAAACTAAGGCCCGGGGGCTGGATGTGGCCCGTTCGGCTTTTAAATCCGGCCCGCCAAACTTTTCCAAATTATATAATTTATTTATATTATCATTACACCTCTGCTTTTTCTCTGCAATACTCACATTTGGCGTAGAAAATGATAAAAGCATTTCAGCCTTTCTGCCTGACTTTTACATGTCATTTATCTAAGTTCACCCCAATGCTCCATCTATCTGACCTTGACCCGGCTGCCCATGTTCAATTTTAGGTCCTGGTCTAAAAGATGTTTTATTTTGAAAATGTAACGATCCTCCAACAATCGCCACGGTGCTACTAGTCGGGGACCACTGTTTTTAAAATACTGTATGTCAACATCGTGTGCACTCCAAGCACTCAACGCCTGATGATCAAGGCACGTGTGTCAAGGCTGGATTCAAGCTGTTCTACCACGGTATATTGGAAAAGGACTGGTTCGTGGGTAATCCGGAAAGAACAGTGGGGATGTGAAGTGCTCCGAAAGCGAATAGCTTGTCAGACGGGTTGTGCTTGAAGCCTGAAAATTGAAAGTCCGATGTAAACATTCTGAATGCATTCACACCTCACGTTGGATGTCATGAGAGCAGACCTTTGAGGGAATGTTGGTAAAAAAGGAAGCGAGAGTGTGGAGCTGCTGATAAATATGAGGCCAAGAGATGAATGTAGACCAACTGATGGTCGTGAATAAAAAATAGGGGACTAAGGTGAGAAGAGGTGAATGGCACAGAGAGTGCTGGTAGAGGCAACGGTACTGGTTTATTATGAGTGGGAGACAGGAAAGGATAGGAAAATCATTTGTAACTGCTGTAGTCTGCGTGGGGCAGGATGTACAGCGGATTCGAATCGGGAAAGAATATTAAGGGGAAAAAAAAAAAAAAACAAGTTAGTGAGTAGAAAGTGCGGTGATGGCAGAAGCAGGAGCTGATGGATGGGAAAAACAACGTGGAGTAAACAACAGCCAGATTTGAAAGATGGAGGAATAAAAGTGAATCGGAAGTGCAGGTGATCTGCAGGTGAAAAAAAACAAAAAACAACAGTGAGTGTGACCAAAAAACAGAAGTGTAGAGAATCTTGGTCAGAGAGGGGATTCCTAATGACTTAAACTTAGTGTACCAGTGTTGTACATAAAGGTATTATGGAAAAGCTGCAGTAACAGCAAAGGTATTGGTATTGGACGTTCTCATGAAGCTGCAGTAACAGCAAAGGTATTGGTAATGGACGTTCTCATGATACAACCTCTGGCAAAATTGATGGAATCACCAGTTAGTTTTTTAGACCAAGTAGATGCTGGAACATTTGTTTGGAGCCGCTCCAATGAGATTTATGAAGACGACCTGCCTGAAGAAAACACGCAAATTTGTCATTGATGAAATGGGGCTGCATGTCAGCTAAAGGCACCGAGGAGAAGGCTGTCATTACATCTTCAATAAACGCACAAGTTTACGTTAATATTTTGGACATCAACTGAAAGGGCGTTTGGGGATGATGAAATCATTTTTCAGGATGACAACGCATCTTGCCATAGAGCAAAAACTGTGAAAACTTTCCTTGAAGAAAGACACATAAGGTCAATGTCATGGCCTGCAAATAGTCCAGACCTCAATCCAACTGAAAATCTGTGGAAAGTTGGAGCCAGATTGATGAAGAGTATGGTTTGTCCCTCATTAAGTCCATGCCTCTGAGACCGTGAGCTGTCACAAAAGCCAGAGGTGGTGCAACAAAGTACTAGTGGTGTGTTGAAGTGTTCTTTTGTTGTTGTTTTTTTTCATGATTCCATCATTTCTTCCTTAGAATTGAATGATTGCATATTTTTTTCCTTCTGCTTGGTCTTAAAAAAGTAACTGTTACTGACTACAACATCTTTTTTCTGGATTTCGTTTTTTTTTTAAAGTTGCCATTTGAAATTACTTTAGTTTCATGTCATGTCTGTGATCTGCTTTTTCTCTACAAAATTAAATAACTGAATGGACATCCTCTGCGACTGGTGATTCCACAATGTTTGCCAGGGGTTGTAGTTGTTAAGGGTGGGCTAAGATGTGACCATAGAGTGAAAGACGACTCAAACGTAAATGACTTTTTTAACCTTGAGGTCGCCTGGAATTCAAAAGCGGTTGCCTGAATTTGATAAAAGAAAAACAACATAACAAACTGAAGCTGGAGGTTAAGCACTTCTATACTTCCCATCCTTCAAATCTGTAGATCCTGCAGTAGCTATTTTTCCTCTTTTTTTTTCCTGTGTTGACCTTGAAACACTCCTGTATATAAAGCATTTTATACTTCTGTGAGTTTTCACCATTGACCTCCTCGACTGAATCTCTCATCAGGCAGGTCACATTCTTTGAACTGGCGCTAGGACAACAAGGAATCTCCCAGAACCTCCCACACCAACTAGTGGCAAGGATCAGCACAACATATAAAAACAACTAAAATGAATAGTTGAGTGAAAGGGGGGACCATTATGAAGATGAAATACTTGGTATTACACACTCTGACCTTCACTACCACGTACTGTACATTTCTGGGTATTCGTCTTACTTGAAGAGTTCCTGTCTTGAAACAGCCCTGTTTGTCAGAGGGTCAATAGCGTAGATCATGACGTCGGATTTTCCGTAGTCTTCCTGGTCCATTCCCTCACCGTGGCGATGGGGGGTAATGGCTTCCATGATAACCTTCGCTCCTGGTATCTGATCCTGAACGTAGCGTTCCAAAATGCTGAGGATAACGAACGAAGGAGCATGATCGCGTTATTGTAACACAACAATAAGGACATAGCAGCACAAACACACTTTTAACACCTGGGAACTTAACACAGTGTACAAAAGTGAACTGGAACCTGAAGGATAAGGTTGGGAACATTAACCTTACTATTTTTGTTTTTTTTGTTTTTTTACATAAAGACGAAGTGAAATTTCTCCTAGAACCTTTAACTCGCCCTGGTGCAGTTTTTATTTCATAACTGTGTCTGTGAAGGAGACAAAAAGGAATACCCATGAGGACATACCATTTTATTTAAAAAAAACAGTAGATTTATTGTGGTATAATACTGTATGTGTGGGACATGAAAATGCAGCAGGTGCAGGCGACTCAGTTATGGTATCGCGCCATGTTTGCAGGTATGGGGGTCTCAGAGCTGGCTGACAGTGAAATTGTAGCCTTAAATGAATAATGCATTTTATATTAAATATTTATAGCGCATGTTTCTCCAAATAAATAAAATAAACATTGGCGCCACAATGTGGAGGGAGATAACTCCATTCGCGCACATGCCCCAAGCAGCAGGTCCACAGTTCAACTCCCAGTCTGCCTTAACGGTTTTTCTTATCCCTGTTATCGGCCTTTTTTAGAGTTTGGTTTTTGACTAAACAGGCGAGGCACAAACAGTACTTTGTTTCACTAGTACAAAAATAATACAAAATATCTTTAATTTAATTTAGTGCCTTTGCCAGAATGATGATGTTATAATTACCTGAAGACTGATTTAAGATGAGTGATAAATACTTCTGCGTTTGATATCTAGCAAAACTAGTAGTTGAGCTCAATTAGCTTTGAGCTAAAACTTAAATCTTATCCCAGCTCCTACCAGCTTTTATACTTTCAAATACACTCATTTATCCGCATTAAATAAATGTTACCAAGATTTTGCACACAAATGTTGCTTCACAGACAGATTCTACATCAGTGATAATCAACTGGTGGCCTGCGGGCTAAATCTGGATTCCAAAATAAATAAATAATAAGTTCGAAAAAAAATGTGATTTTTATTTCCTTTTTTATTCGAGAGTCCAGCGCCCATGGTGTCTGTCCTGAAAATTTCTGACCTGACAAATAGTTGGTGACCCCCGATCAATATTAAAAAATGTTTGACCAGGGGCCACTTCTGACAGGAACATTTCTGCCCTTTGGAATGTGGACATTTATATATAATTTATTTTTCATGCCTTTTTTTGCTGGTTGTCATTTTTCAGTCTGATATTCAAAAGTATTGCAGTACTATGCACAGTACTTAAGAGTACAGCATTCTAAAGTAGCCCCATTAGACCTTTGTGTTTGTGCCTATTAGACAAAAGACTCAATTACATTTGCTAAAACTGGAAAAAAAAAATCAGTATTTAAGGCATTAATTGAGATATTTTTGAATATGACATTTGTTAAATAAATATAATAAATATTTCAATATTAAATATTTACTATCAGAACCTGATCAATGCCATATCAAATGTATTTATTCACACTCACCTGAGGAGCTTGTCTTTGTTTTGGTCCACATATGTTGGAGGGACATTTGATACAACCACCTGCATGTCCAGCTGGTTCACAACTGACACCTGCGTAACATACAAAGTCGAGTGGAATGACCGAGCTCTGTCCTAACTTTTGTGTCACACTGTTGTGAGAACTCAGATCAGAAAATGTACCACTCTAAGATAAGAAGAAAATTACTATAAATTTGAAAACAAAGGTGTTACAACGTTTGGCAAACGCACCACAATTTCTGCTTTGCTGCTATGACCTCGGCCGTAGTCGTCTGTAGCAACCACCTCGAACTTAAAATACGACCTCCTCATGTTGCGGTACATTATTGCCGTCTTGACCACGCCGCTGTACGGATGAAGCCCACTTTGCCATCTCTTGTCGCTTTCCCTGCAGGAGGCACAATTATCAACCGGTACATCATTGCACTGTAGTTGCCGGTGTCCCTGTCCAGAGCCTGAAAAATGTGAAAATAACAGCTCAGTTATTATGATCATCATTATCGTTACAGTGCCACATCATTTCCATTGTTTCATAATTACACCATTATCCACCAATGTTGGCATTACACACACACAACACCCAAGCCCTGGCATTGTCTTTATGATAATAGGAATTGATTTCTGTTGATCATGTAATCATAATAGTTTTAATTACAGATCTGAATAAAGGATTAAATGCAAAACTGTTCCAAAGGCTGTGGATGCAAAACATTTCGAAAACAAATTGCAGGACTTTACTTGATAAAAGTGAATCACTACACTTAAAAACCTAACCCTGGTCACCAAATGTGACAGAAGTGATTCATTTAAAAACACCCTTAAGTTTTAAATTTCCCAAGCTCCCTCATGTTTTCCCCTAATGTTATATTCATGTAAGTTGCTCTAATCTTTGTCTGGCAGTTATTCTGTAGAACGCCGATGCAGAATTTCTTTTTATTCTCTCGTGAATCCCGTTCATAATCCCTTCCTTCCTCTGTAAAGTTTTTTTCTCTACAACCTGCAGATATTTTACTTCACCCTTTAGTCACTGAGCTTATTTGCAGCCTATCTATTGTTTGTGTCAGAGTGATAAAGTATCCAAAGCAGTCAAGGAATAAAAACAGATCGGAACAAACAAACAAAATCCATATACCTACTTTACATGAGAAGTTTTAGAAAAAAAATGATCTTCACAACCCTAGTGATTTGAATCTGTCTGTAGTTGCACGCTCATCATTGTCACTCACCGTGTATGATCTAATGAAACAAGAATATCTAAGAAGGATCTGAGGAACGGCAGTGAAATATTAAAAAGCATCGCCTGCGACAGCGCCCCAATCTCTCGCGGCATCCCAGCTCATTAAAACACATCATTATTTCTCAGAGGAGAGGCTGAAAAGACACACTCCCTGACTCCCTCTCTCGGCCTGTAAAAGTATCATAAATAAATAAGAGGTGCCTCAAGTTTGTTTACAGTCGCTCCTCCAACTTTCATGTTAAGGGAAGAAGAAGCAGGGTCTTTTAATTAGTCGAGGAAGACATGGTTTCAACAGAACGTGCTACGGAACTGTTTGTGTTGTAAATTTACAGTGTTTACATGTACACAAAGCAACTGCAGCTACTAGGGGATTAAATATATTTCAACATTGGATGTTAATTTTAAATGGTTTGCCTTTGGTAAAAAGATTTGTCAATGCTGATTCTTTTATTTTCACCGTCTTTTCACTGACATTTTATCGAATGTTTGGAGTCAGACTGTCATCTCCCTAGTTACCAAAGAAACAAGGGTGGGGCTAAGGTCAGTTAGAAGTGAATAATTACATAACTTCCATGTAAACCTGAACCAAAATGATACTAAAGAATTATGTAAAAAGTGACAACAAACAGACAGAGTATCTAATAAGAAGTGTCTGCCCTTATGTACAGTCATATATTTTTTCAAATGAAATAAACACTAAGCTTTCAATAAGACTGGCCACTGCGTGTATTCAAAATTATTCACATTATTAATTTAGACCTAACACTAAATGCTGTAGGATTTTAGATAGAAATGACATCTACTGAGATACTACAACAAGTCCGGCTACATTTATGTAGCCCACAGCTAGGAAAGTTTACTTTTGGTTTGCTAATACTTTGTCTAAGCAGGGTTTATATGTGCAACTAGCATAAAACAATGTCTAAAGTACACATTTTGGATTAACCTAATTTCAGCTTTTATATATTTTAGCAATGGTGATTTATTAACATATTTCTGCTTTAACTATATTTTAGCATAGCTTTAGCCTAGCTCTGTTGTAGCCTAGTTTTGAAGTTCTGCTAAACCACTTTTTGCGGCGCTAACACGTTAGTTTACCTTAACATTAACTTAACCTAAATGTCATGGTCTGCGTCAGTACCTGTACTCGAAGGACTGAAGTGAAGGTTTTGGCATCTTCCGTGACTCCTCCGATGTAAAGTGGTCTGGTGAAAACTGGGAAGTGGTCGTTCTCATCCAGGATGTCAATCAGCACCTTAGCCGTGTTAGCTAGAACAAACACACACTGTTAACTTTGTACAAACAGCACAACTGGCAGCACAATGGATTCCTTTAGCAGTCGTTCATGTGGAAAGGAATATGTGAAGAATGAACAAAGACGGAATGAAGAATGGGCCTGGAATCAAACAAACAAGGACTGACAATGAAAAAAAAAAAGCATCAGTTTTATCACAGGCTCAACACTAAAGTTTACTGTTCTGTTCTCGTTGTTTGACGCTGCTGTTGCTTTTATAGAATATACAAAGTTAAGCCATAACCTAAACTGAAGCAACAAAAGTAAAGGCTACTCTTTAGGACTTCAAGCCTAGAAAAGTTTGTTTTTCACCTCTCGCAGCTTACATAAGCTCAATAAATATTCTCTAGTGTATTAATCTGGTTGCTAGTTAACATGACTGTAAAGTTTACGTGTGAAATGTAAAATGTAATTAGGTGGGAGCACGTGAGTCCACTTCGATCATTTGTATCTTCATCTCCTTTTCGGCTGCTGTCTTCCAGGTTCACCACAGCAGATAATACTCACTCTATTACTTGACTGAACACTGTTACAA